AGTGGTGGGCGGGGGCGGGGCGGGAGCGGGGGGGGGGGGGGGGGGGGGGGGGGGGGGGGGGGGGGGGGGGGGGGGGGGGGGGGGGGGGTAGTTGGATACCAATGTACCCGCTATTTTGCCCCAAAGATACCAATATACCTCAAAATCGTAAAATCTGTGATACTAAATACCTAAAATTATTTTGAAACAGAATACTAAATACCTGAAAATGAACAAGTCAGATCTTAGTAAAAGAGAAACTCCTGGTTCACTGTCCTCTTCCGCTTCCTTTGCGGTCGGCCAGCGTCCATGGTGATCGAATCCTCGTCACCTCGTCCATCAACGTTCTTCTTTAGGAGAGGTGGTGTCAGTGGATCCGTTCACCAAGGCCAGGAGCAGATAATACCCCCCTCATCTATTTCAACAGTTTCATTGTCAACAACTGTAATGCTGCTTACAACCTCCTTTATGCCCTCTTTTGGGATGACGTGCTCTTCTCCCGAAGTAGTGAATAGGAGAGGATCGACAACATCTTGGGTGTAACAGAGAGTTATTACATAACGAGCACTGTCATAGTCATCAACCGCATCCTCCAATAGTTTTTTAATATACAGTGGTGCTCTCTGGAGCAGAACGCGGTTTGTATATTCGGGAAACTACAACATACGTAGACTGGGCGATGACAATGTTACATGCTGTGCTGGTATCTTGGTGTTGAACAGGGATGTCTACATTGAGAAGCACGTCAAAGTCAACTGAATGTTGCTTCGGGGGTGCTGACTCGTAGAGGTTCAATGGCAAGGTGCCTGGCTTGTCTTGTGTTGAAAAGTTCCTGTGGTATTCTGTCTGACACGTTTAACGTACTGCTGTACCCACTGACGGATCTCATCCAATTGCTTTTTGGATAAGCAACCAGACAAAGGCTTCGGTAATCTTGCAGGGTCGCAGAAGTTTATATCAACATCACCTAAAGTAGGCTGAGGGTAGTACGAGGCCACTGGATTTGTAAAGTCCCTGTAGCTCGTACCTGTGACACGTTTTAATAACTCGTTAATACATCGGGAAAAAACGCAAGCAAAAGTCGAGCATCATGGGAGTGTCCGTGTTACCCCCTCTCATACTGGAAAAGAGGTTTTCAACAAAGAGACTTAAAAGGCTTTCAACGTCTAAGTGTTGAATGAAGTTTGGATTGAGTTCGATCACCTTTGTCCTCAGTCTAGTGACGCCTTCCAGTATCATCTTCACGGAATTCAATGAAGTAGCAGATAGTGTTCCGTCTGGGAAGTTGAGCCCTTGATACCCTGAACTTTCAACGAGGCTTCTTCGTGAAAAGCATAGTAATGCTGGACGCAGGTAACTTTCCCATCAAAACTTAACCTTGTGGTTGTCCCAGTCAGATTGAAGGCTGACAGAAAAAGCCACAGGTTTTGTAAGTATTTGAACACAATTTCTAGCAGCCGCACTAGCATTAGAGCGATAATAAAACTGAGAAATGAATTATACATTTCTCAGTGATTTCTGTACCATCTACCGAATACCTAAAATTTACGAAAAACTGAATACTTTATACCCGAATTTTGACCAAAAAATACCATATACCTGAATTAAAATGGCCCGGGATACCGTATACCCAAAACCCCTGGCCGGGCCTGAAAACTCGTAGTAGAATGACGATGGCTAAATTGGCTATCACATTTTCCCGCCAAAGTGACGTTGGTTTACGCGCGGACTCTACTTAGTATTAGAAAAATCTCGTTCTCTACTAACTGCCTGGAATTTTGTTTGCCATTTTGGAGGATCGTATGACTATGTTATCTTTTTTTGAAATACGGTTCCCGTAATAGTGACATGTCGTCGCCAAAATGTTTTGATCGCGTTACTTTTTGTGCTTGAGGTACGATTGCCAAAAGATCATCTTCGGATAACTGAACATTGGATCCCCTATTGACAACAGTTTTTCAACTGCGACGATCGCTGGTTTCAATTACGTACAGTGTGGGGGAGGGGTGGAAGGAGGGGGAAGAGGAAAGGTTGGAAGGTTGGAAGGTTCGGGTATCTCTGAGCCGGTCCGTTTAAATGGATCGAACGTTTATGAGAATGCTGCGGATGACAGATTTCGTTTAGCAAATAGTTTATAAAATACAGTAATGAAACGATATTTTCGAATACTTAAGAATGCAGTGTGTTTTCGAGAAACAGTCTGAAATTGCACTGTTCTGCACTTAGCAAGTTGGGAATAGCCCGACTTCCTATTCATCACTTAAGATCAATTTTAAGCGACTCTGTGTTGTTATGGGATCGTAGGTTGCATTGTTTTATCTAGAATGTACAAGGCTAGAGCCAATTTTACGTCTAGAAAATCTACATTTATTTGTTTGGAAAAGGCGTTTTATTTAACAGAACCCACAACACAATGGCTGCATGTTACTTGTATGTATATTGCAGGATTTTTAGCCAAAAATGCTAAAATTAAGGATATTTAAAAAATGTCCAAAAGCAACTCATCATTCGACTTCAGAGCAAGGTTTAAAGCACTTCCTAGTGCTTCGTAAGCAAAAGAGTACCTTCTCCGTTTCTTATTTGCTCAAATCCCCGTCTATTCGTTCGTAACCAGCTAGCGTTGACCAAATTTGGAAGGCGTTTACAATATCCAGTAAAATGACATTAACGGATAGAAACATGTGACCAGAATGGATACTCCAAAGTCAGATTGTCATCTCCTCTCAAAATACATGATAGGAGTCTTATAAATCAACGTAGTAAATAAGAGAATAAGGACAACTGAAGAAAACAGTAGCTATGTAGGACTTGAACCCACTTCATTTAATGTATAATCCACATCCGTATCAAGGGAACAATCAAGTCAGGGGCACCCAACGAGAATATAGTTTACAACCACTTAAACATAGCATTTTTAAACGTATTTTAGTATTTAAACGGTAGATATAGGCAGATTGTTATCCCCTAAAAATTCTTCATCTGTTCGGATTTCCTAGCTGAAAGTTTAGTGATCCAAAAATTGTAGGGATCAAAACTTACATTTTCGAAACTTTCAGCCAGAAAAAATGCTGCCGAAAATTCTAGGTGAGTTTTCTAGGGTAAAAATGCGTTAAAAATGGCCAATCATACCATGATTTTTTAAATGTTCGAAAATCCTAGGAGAGGGAGGCAAGCAAGAAATTTTACAACAAATTTTCCGAAAATTCTAAATCGGAACAGATATTTTCCGAAAATTGACTTTGGGCGCCCCTGATCAATCAAACAATCAATAAACAAACAAACAATCAATAACTGCCGACCCCGGTTAAACGTTACTTTTAACGTATTTACATTGCATTGATTATTATATTATTGCAAGCTAGCCGTTTTTAAAGCAGTGCTTAACTTAATCACTGTACTTTGGTACTAAACCCTGTATTCAACTCTTTTCCTTGCACAACTGTCTTTTACTCTGATTTCCCCACTTTTCTAAAAAATATGCTCAGTAAATTCGCATATTTAATTAATTGCTGGTTTTTACTGTCACGCNCCAGAAAAAATGCTGCCGAAAATTCTAGGTGAGTTTTCTAGGGTAAAAATGCGTTAAAAATGGCCAATCATACCATGATTTTTTAAATGTTCGAAAATCCTAGGAGAGGGAGGCAAGCAAGAAATTTTACAACAAATTTTCCGAAAATTCTAAACCGAGCCCGGTTAAACGTTACTTTTAACGTATTTACATTGCATTGATTATTATATTATTGCAAGCTAGCCGTTTTTAAAGCAGTGCTTAACTTAATCACTGTACTTTGGTACTAAACCCTGTATTCAACTCTTTTCCTTGCACAACTGTCTTTTACTCTGATTTCCCCACTTTTCTAAAAAATATGCTCAGTAAATTCGCATATTTAATTAATTGCTGGTTTTTACTGTCACGCCATAAAAATTAAAAATTCAAACCATTCAATACAAAAAGTCTAGAATCTGGGAAATGAAAGAAGATGAATATTAATACCAAACGCCTTGCCAAGAATAGCGTGGTTAGAGTAAAGATTTGTGTAATAAACATAAGGCGTCCAACCTGATTTTAAGGTATCCATTCTACTAGTCACCACCGATAGAACAAGGGACGGAATGCGAGAAGCCCTAGGGACAAGCCTTACGGGTGACAACTGATTTTAGAATTATATCTATTAGCCGGACGAATGATACCTTTATGTCCAAGGAAAAGGCAAAAGAAGACGGCGCAACCTAATATGGATGGAGGTAAGCTTGTTTTAAAGGAGGAATTATTTTAGTGGAACAATGAATAAATTTGACTTGCGCACTGGGTCAGAAGAAGTGTGCAGATCTCAACAACTCCCGATTATTTCGAAAGATTTCGGAAGATCTCCGAAGATTTTTGAAGATATCTGAAGAATTTTCCACTTTAGTTTGGTCGTCATATTCACATGTGAAAAATATACTTTTTACCGAGCACAGATACGAATTTTTTTCAGAAAAAAAAACCTCGAAACAGTTAACAATATTTTTTCCTGAGACAGTAAATACAGTCAACTCCCTTTATAGCGGACACTGTAGGGACCTTAAGTTAGTGTCCTCTGTAGCGAGAGTCCGTAATAGCGGGAGTTTATTTCAGTCAAACGTTTGTATACTGTAATTTATTTTTGCCCGGAATTTATCTGTTGTCCGTATTATCGGGGTGTCCGTTATAGCGGGTGTCCGCAAGGCGAGAGTTGACTGTATTCAAAAATTGGCCAATTTAAAAGTAAACACTAAAACTGTATTTCTTAATTTACCTTATTCAGTCAACTGCCTTTATAGCGGACACTGTAGGGATCTCGAGTTAATGTCCTCCTTAGCGAGAGTCCGTAATAGCGGGAGTTTATTTCAGTCAAACATCTGTACAGTCAACTCTCGCCTTGCAGACACCCCGCTACAACGGACACCCCGATAATACGGACAGCAGATAAATTCCAGGCAAAAATTAGACTGCAAAACAGTTCGTATTTTTGCGTATTCAAGTACGCGCGATGAAAACAGAGAGCGAGACTGGGGAGAGACGCTAATCTCGCCTCACATACGGGCGTGTGAGGCTCGCGCGCTTCGCGCGCGTAAGACTCTTACGCCACGCTTTATCGATTTCTTTACTGATTTTGAGAAAAAAAACGACTGTTTTGCAGTCTAGGCAAAAATAAATTACAGACATTTGACTGAAATAAACTCCCGCTATTACGGACTCTCGCTACAGAGGACACTAACTTAAGGTCCCTGCAGTGTCCGCTATAAAGGGAGTTGACCGTAATTTGTTTATCCCGGGGATTTAGTTACTGTCCGCTTTATCGGGGTGTCCGTTATAGCGGGAGTTTATTTCAGTCAAACATCCTTAATATGTCTTTTCCGGGGATTTAGCTACTGTCCGCTTTATCGGGGTGTCCGTTATAGCGGGAGTTTATTTCAGTAAAACATCTGTAATTTGTTTTTCCCGGGGATTTAGCTACTGTCCGCTCTATCGGGGTGTCCGTTATAGCGGAAGTTTATTTCACAAACATCTGTAATTTGTTTTTCCCGGGGATTTAGTTACTGTCCGCTTTATCGGGGTGTCCGTTATGGCGGGAGTTTATTCCAGTCAAACACTCAGGTAAATTAAGGCATGGGCCTCAATTTGCCTTAATTTGCTCTCTTCAAAAGTGAGGGGGTGGTCTATATCTAAGAGCTTTAGATGAAGAGACATAAAACTTTGCCAGCTAACCACATTTTTAGTTTGTGTCAATTTTAAGCTTTAAAATTATGCAAATTAGGTCACGTGACCTCCATCGGCTGAAAAAGCTTGTTCTTCAAACGGCAACACGTTTTCGTGTGTCATCAATTATTTTACCGGTTGCATAATGTTAATGCCGTTTAATGTATCACTTCTGTGCTTGGCCTTTTTTAGATATTTAAAATCGAAGCGCCTTAAGATGGGATACAATTGCTTTGGG